CAAAAATCTTGGAACCAACCCCAAACCTATATTTTCATGTACATATTTATTTCCCATAAACGGACGCTCTAATAAACGGACGCGGACACTATTTTTCTTTACATAACGGGCAAAAATTTCTAATAAACGGACGCGTAGGTAACTAAACGCACACATCAAAGTAATCTGTAATAGATATTTACCGACATGTGTTCGGGGATTCCTCGTTTTACGAGTTCCGCTTGTTAACGAATCCCAAAACATTAGTACATAGTTATTATTAGTTTGTTCGTTTCGGTGTAACGTGCGTTGAAATGGCTTCCAAGGTGGTAAAGAAAAAGATGCTTATGTTAAAGGAGAAAATGGAAATAGTGTGTTTATTAGATAAAGAAAAGTTGTCAGTTCGTGATATTGCTAAAAAATTTAAAATCGGGAAAACACAAGCGGCAAAAATAATCAAAGATAAAGAAAAGATTCGAAAGAAATGGCAGTCTGGAGTCAGTGTAAAAACGAAGAAAAACTTTTTGAGTAGTGATGGTTCAAAGATCGACAAAGCCTGTTTCGAATGGTTTGTGAAAGCTAAAAATCAAAATATTGCCGTATCAGGATCATTCGTAAAGAAAAAAGCAAAAGAAATTGCAGAAAAATTAGGAGTGAGTACCTTTAAAGCGTCTGATGGGTGGTTACAAAAGTGGCGTTTGAGAAATAATGTTGCATTTAAGTGTATCTCCGGAGAAGCAGCAGATGTAAATGAAGAGGGCATTAATGAATTTATGAAAAAATTACCGACCTTCTTACTAGGCTATCGACCAGAGGACATTTTCAACGCAGATGAAAGTGGGCTCTTTTTTCGTGCATTACCAAATAAAACTTTAGCTTTAAAGTCGGAAAAATGCACAGGAGGAAAACTGTCCAAAGAATGATTAACCGTTTTGTTCTGTGTAAATAGTGTAGGTGAAAAAGAGGAGTTGCTAGTTATTGGAAAGTCGGCATGTCCCCGAGCATTAAAAAATGTTGCTCCCAAGGATTTACCGACTAATTTAATTTAAGTAGTCTTTTCTCATAAGCGGACATCTCTGATAAGCGGACAAAAGTAACGGAACCGTCACTGTCCGCTTATTAGAGCTTTCACTGTATGTGCTTTTTGGTCATTATGCCCTTCATACTATGAGGTTGTGCTGAAATGTTAGAAAAGTGTTAAGCTCTTCAATTCTCCAACATTTTTCAATAGTGTTTTTGTCGATTTTAGGTAGAGCAACCCTATGATTTTCCTTAAACCTTTGAAGTGGCTTCAGCAGTGGCTTAATGCTTCAGTCGTTTTCGCGTTGCCCTATAATTTACCATAGCTTAGACCATAGAGTTTACCTTTTCCTTTATCGATTGACTCTTTCTACTATGCAGATTGTAGACACATATTTTACGATAGTTTTAATTTTTAAAATAGTTTCTAAATCTTTTATTCTCCCCTGTTTCCAATTCACAATAGATTTTAGAGATAAGTGGTTGAACTACATTTGGTCGGATTATTTCTATAGAATATCCTTTGCATATTAGAAAAGTGTTAAGCTCTTCAATTCTCCAACATTTTCCAATAGTGTTTTTGTCGATTTTAGGTAGAGGAACCCTATGATTTTGCCTAAACCTTTGAAGTGGCTTCAGCAGTGGCTTAATGCTTCAGTCGTTCTCGCGTTGCCCTATAATTCACCATAGCTTTGACCACAGTGGTTACCTTTTCCTTTATCGATTTACTCTTTCTACTATGCAGATTGTAGACACATATTTTACGATAGTTTTAATTTTTAAAACAGTTTCTAAATCTTTTATTCTCTCCTGTTTCCAATTCACAATAGATTTTAGAGATAAGTGGTTGAACTACATTTGGTCGGATTACTTCTATAGAATATCCTTTGCATATTAGTCGTTTCGTGTGATATATTTAGTTAGTAGTCAAGATCATTTGAGAGATTACCTTTTTACCGTTACCATTCTGTGTGCTTTTTGGTAATTATGCCCTTCATACTATGAGATTGTGCTGAAATCTGAGAAAAGTGTTAAGCTCTTCAATTCTCCAATACTTTTCAATAGTGTTTTTGTCTATTTTAGGTAGAGCAACCCTATGATTTTCCCTAAACCTTTGAAGTGGCTTCAGCAATGGCTTAATGCTTCAGTCGTTCTCGCGTTGCCCTATAATTCACCATAGCTTTGACCATATCGATTGACTCTTTCTACTATGCAGATTGTAGACACATATTTTACGATAGTTTTAATTTTTAAAACAGTTTCTAAATCTTTTATTCTCTCCTGTTTCCAATTCACAATAGATTTTAGAGATAAGTGGTTGAACTACATTTGGTCGGATTACTTCTATAGAATATCCTTTGCATATTAGTCGTTTCGTGTGCTAAATTTGGTTAGTACCCAAGATCATTTGAGAAATTACCTTCTTACCGTTGCCATTTTGTGTGCTTTTTGGTAATTATGCCCTTCATACTATGAGATTGTGCTGAAATGTTAGAAAAGTGTTAAGCTCTTCAATTCTTCAACATTTTTCAATAGTGTTTTTGTTGATTTTAGGTAGAGCAACCCTATGATTTTCCCTAAACCTTTGAAGTGGCTTCAGCAGTGGCTTAAAGCTTCAGTCGTTCTCGCGTTGCCCTATAATTCACCATAGCTTTGACCATATCGATTGACTCTTTCTACAATGCAGATTGTAGACACATATTTTACGATAGTTTTAATTTTTAAAACAGTTTCTAAATCTTTTATTCCCTCCTGTTTCCAATTCACAATAGATTTTAGAGATAAGTGGTTGAACTACATTTGGTCGGATTACTTCTATAGAATATCCTTTGCATATTAGTCGTTTCGTGTGATATATTTAGTTAGTAGTCAAGATCATTTGAGAGATTACCTTTTTACCGTTACCATTCTGTGTGCTTTTTGGTAATTATGCCCTTCATACTATGAGATTGTGCTGAAATCTGAGAAAAGTGTTAAGCTCTTCAATTCTCCAATACTTTTCAATAGTGTTTTTGTCTATTTTAGGTAGAGCAACCCTATGATTTTGCCTAAACCTTTGAAGTGGCTTCAGCAATGGCTTAATGCTTCAGTCGTTCTCGCGTGGCCCTATAATTCACCATAGCTTAGACCATATCGATTGACTCTTTCTACTATGCAGATTGTAGACACATATTTTACGATAGTTTTAATTTTTAAAACAGTTTCTAAATATTTTGTTCTCTCCTGTTTCCAATTCACAATGATTCAAACGTTTTTCAGTTAAACTCAGTGATGGGCGCTGGGTAAATACCCGGCAGGTAGGTATTTCTAAAATGGGTATTTACCCCGGCCCAGGGTAAATACCCAAACAGTAGGTATAAAAGTGATACCAGTAAAAAAATATCAGATTCCAAAAGAAATGAAGAGGAAGATGATGAGGACGTTGAACACGAGGAATTGTCAACAACCAAAGACGTATTATCGTTAGATGAATCTGTCGCAATCTAGATTAGATCAAGTTATTATGATTATTATCATCAAGCCCCCTGCGTCCATTGTTGGACATAAACCTCCCCTATTCTGTTCCATTCGATTCTATTCTGTGCTGTCTGAATCCAATTGTTGGTCATTCTTTTGACGAAGTAGACGTCTGTTCGCTCGCAGTCTCCACTCAAGCAACCGTTTTGTCCACTTAAGCTTTGCCACAATGTTGACCACATCATTTACGCCAGTTCTTCTTCATAGGTCTTCATTTCGTATGTAGTCCCGTATGTAGTCCGTTAATGTTAAACTTTCGGAGCCGTATCTCATAACCGAAAACACGCATTGATTGAAAGCCTTTCTTGGCCTTTTTTCTTGAAAATGTCTCTAAGGTTCCCGTAGGCTGCCCATGCAAGTGCGATCCTTCTGTTAAGTTCGCTTGTTTGATTATCTCTTGTTACACGAACCTCATAGTCAAGATATACATAGCTGTCAATCCTTTCCATCTCATTATCCCCAATGTTGATGTTAGAGCTGGGAACAAGATTTGTCATAAATTTTGATTTGTCCTCGTTGATATTTAATCCGACTTTTGCACACACCTCCTTTAAGTCGTTCAGCATTAGTTTAATCTCAAGGCTATCCGAAATAAGAACCATATCGGCCGCGTAGCGTAAATTACTTAAGCATTTGCAATCAATGTTTCTGCCTCTTTGGGCCAGTTGTTTAAATGCACTCTGAGGACTGTGATGAACAATTTGGGTTCAACAGTGTATCGCCTTGTTTTACTCATGATCAGTACTTTACTACTTTTACTCTCTTCAGTACTTTCATGCAATTTTACCTGCATTCTTGTAGATGTTATAAATAATTTGGTATATCGATAATCGACTCTGCATTCTTGAAGTGCTTGCAAAACTGCCATCAACTCAATTTAAATTAAATTTTATAAATACTTCTAAATACCCATCTTGGGTAAATACCCCCGGGTATATATCCAGGAAATTTTCCCTTGAAAATAAATACCCGGATATTTAACAACACTGGTTAAACTACATTTACGAGTGTAAATACTCTTTTACTTGGGTTAACAGGTTGAAGTAAAACACAAGTGAGAATCATCAACTCAGAACTTAAAGCCAGCCGAGGGTGGTTTTTTTAAAAAATCTTAGTAGTTGTGGCACTTGTAAGATGAAGTAGTTGCGGTCAAAGTATTTCGAAAAGAAGATTTATCCAACATCCCTTGCGCAGTTTCTTTGTAAGGATTTTAATACAACAAATTTTGTAAGATCATCCTACCTGATATCTAAAAAAATATATTTAATCACTTACGATAATAATAATAAAATATATTCTCCAATAAAAGATTAATATTTCAAATAAATGGTATTTCGAAGTAAATAAAATATTTGCTCCGCGTTGCATTATAAATTACATTTAATATAAATTAATTCAATCATTTAGTTTTTGAGTTTCATTAATATTTAATATATTTCGTGATTTCAAACTTTTCCTATAATCTGTTAATTAATTTTAATTTACCAACGCAAAACAAAAAATAAAAATACTCACATTTGTGTTTAAATTAATTTAATTGCTGCCGCACTCATTAAAATTCTTTCTCTTATGTAATTAAATAAAATTGTTTAATACAAATTTAAATAGAAACTATAACTATATGTGAAAATTAACAATTCAACCTAATCAGATAAACGAGTAAACAGCAAGCGTATTTCCAAACGAACTGCCCAGGTTTGTTAATTTGTACTCGAACCGAACGAACGTAGTTGCTCTTCGTGGTGGAATTAACGAGCACCGCCGAATTAAAGTAATTAATTCAATAACCACTATTTACACGTTATGATTAATATTTCAACAACATAATATATATTATCACTCAGTTCTAAACCTATGCGAAGTTAGCCCCCAATTTTTCTAGCCCCCAATTAGATAGGATTTTACATGTATAGTATTTTGATTATAACAAGAGAACCAGTCAACCGATTTCGATAAACAATGTCTCATTCGAAAGCTCAATCCTTGGCCAATACGAAAGTGGAAATGCTCGATTCGAAATCTCTCTCGAATTCCGCTAAAACGCCAAAATAATGCGAAGATACACGAAAATAACACAAAAATGACCTTTTTTAAGTGGTGATAACTCGTAAACGATGTACCCGATGATCAAGATCTATACGTCATTCGATTCGTCATAGTTTCTTCTATCGAAATCACAAAATGCCCGATTTCAATTCTCTCCCGTTAACCTTGTACAGCCCACGGAATGACACCGTGTTCGGCTCGTTGTTTACGCACTTACAAACGACCGTTAAAGTCTAGCCCCCAATATAAAAAAATTAATTTAAACTAAATCGACTATAATAAGAGAACGGTTTGACGGATTTTACTGTTTTATATCTCAATCGATAGCTTTCGCCTGGCTGAATGCAGTTGTCGAAATGCCCGATTCGAAGTATTTAAGAATTATGATTAACA